TTGAATGGTAATTTATAATCAGTCACAAGAACGTGTTTTTTTCAAGTGATTCAGATTCGACGGGGGTGCTTAACTTTTTTCCAGGTGTATATATAGAATGTGAAATATCACTATAAACAATTATTTGATTTATTAAAAAAAAAAATATCATAATGCATTTATGATGAACACTGTTAACTCCACATGGCCGATTGTGTTAATTCAGTGCTTATTGAATGGTGTGCTTTATTGTATTGTAAAAAAATACAACTGGGTGTAATACTTTGAAACTTCAAATAACTTTGTACAGACTATGTTACTTCTTCTTACATCCTTGCAGAAAGTTCCTATAATGTTCTTATTTTATAAAACTAAAATATTATCTTCATTTTGATTTGTGAAACACGTGCAGTTTTACTGTTTACAGTCACTGGCATATAATAAAAACAGTTATTTTTATGTGCATTTCAATCCCATATTTAGGCTGATAAGGCTTAACACAGTGGTGTTCTCAGCAAAATGAAACTTGATATGGTTGAATACAAAATTAGTTAACTAAGCCTATCTTCTATTGCAAGAAAAACATTTTTTTTCCTATCATAATTTAACTGAAGTATATAATGATAAATCATCTTTTTACAAGCTTTTTTGACAGAAACCTCATTTTTCTTCTAGCAACATATCACAAGCTAAGCTTTGAAAACTTTGTTTCAATATTTAAGTTAATCTCTGCTGAACCGCAAGTAATATTGATTTATACTGTTGTTAATAACAGAAAAAGTTTTGACATGTTTAGATTCTACACAAAAGCTTTCACTATTTGTGCACAAAACAGTAATAATAATACATCGGTAAACTGCCAAATATTTGTACAGGGTTCATACACTTTCTTACATGTGAAATTCCATGACTTTCCATGACCTTTCAAGCCAGAATTCCATTACTTTTGAACAAAGTTTTACATGGTAGACCAAAAAATTTGATCCCAAAGCGAAGCAAAGTGTATATACTGCACCGTCTCTTCTTTTGCATCCCCCCCCCCCATTAACAACAACAAAATATTTATATTATGCATTAGTTGTGGCATTTAGCTGATCAGATTGTTTCTGAATGAGTTCTTCTTGAAACATCTTTGCTGTACAAATTCGTAAATTAAGACTGCACTGCAGACAAGTTTGCAGAGGATTGATGGCATTGAGTTGTTCATCAATTTGTTTCTGAATGATTTCTACTTTAGACATCTCCTCTACTGTACATACAGAGCTGTTAACACAGGAGACTGTTTGATTTTGATATACATGTCAAACTGTCAGTTGATTTAGCTTCCTCTGCAAACTTGTCCACTGTGTCTTACTTTACGAATTCTTGATGACATTCAGCTGATCATCAATTTGTTTCTGAATCACTTCTAACTGGGACATCTTCTCCTTTGCTGTACGTCAGAGGCTGTTTGATTTGGATATACAAGATAATCTGCCAGTTGACTCGGCTTCCTCTGCAAACTTGTCTGCTGATTCTTGAAGACTTTTGATATCTGCTTGCAGTCTAGACTTCTTAGCTTTCAGTTCATCTATCTCATCAAGTAATCCTTTTCTTTTTCTTTCCTTCTTTTCCTTTTCACGTCTCTGCTCATCAAGATACATATAGTATTTTTGCCTACCTGCTGAAGCGGCTAACATGGGCGACTTGTCGATAGTAATGTTCTGAATTCCTCCTACGTATTTGATATGATCATATATAGCCCTCAAAGATATTAGCGAGTGCCCTAGAAGATTGTCCTCTTCAACTTCGTTGTTGACGGAGAATCCTCTTTCAATAGAGGCTTGTCCGTGGGACAAGACAAGCAACATGCAGACCACCTTTAATAAAGATGAATAGCGAGACTCAGACAGAAATGTGCACATCAGAGAATCCAGTCTGTCTTTCTTCGGATCAAATTCTCTCATCTCTGCACTTCTTGATGCCTCATCACATGCTTCTGAGTATTCTCTTAGGATGTCATCAGACAGAAATGTGCACATCAGAGAGTCCAGTCTGTCTTTCTTCGGATCAAATTCTCTCATCTCTGCACTTCTTGATGCCTCATCACATGCTTCTGAGTATTCTCTTAGGATGTCATCATATGACTCCTCAAGTCTGTTTGCATCACTAAGGGAACTAAGCATCCTTTTCAGCTTTGCAGTAGTTTTCTTTGTCTTTTGCCATGCTCTTTGGATTTAAACATCCCATATTTCTCACAAGTGTATACTTAAGCGGACATCTGTCAATGAGCTTGCAGGTCATTGCAGCAAGAAACTGTTTTGCTTGGACGTGAAATTCCAGAATCCTTCACTCACTGATGATGTTTTTTGCTTTCAGATCCTTTAGCTTTTTCTCATTGTAGAGTCCAATATCAACCTTGGTCAGAGGCAGCTGAATGCCCTCGCTGCTAATATCTACCTGCATTATCTTGTAAGGAGAAGTAA